GCCTTGCAAGCATAAGGACCCGAGTTCAATCCCCAGTACCAAAAAAAAGTTACTAAAGTCTTAGCCATTCCAGTTTAGAGAAAAAATAAAAAACAAAAAAAAACAAAAAATCTAGGCCAGGGATTAAGCTCAGCGGTTCAGTGGCCTGCCTTGCAAGTGCAAGGACCTGAGTTCGATCCCTCGTACCACAAAATAAATAAATATAAAAAAATTAAAACCAGCCAAATACCTAAGCTGCGTATACATTTAGATTTTGGTGGTGGTTTGTGTTAGATGAAAGAGCCCAAGCCCAAGAGAGGACCAGAACCATAATAAACCTTTATTATGGGGAGGACCTGCTAGGCTGTCTCTGAACAAAGGAGAGAAAGCAACAGGGCAGCACTGGGAGCTTCTTTTATAGGAGAAGGGTGGGATTAGCCTGAGCTGGGGTGGAGTTGAGTGAGGTGGTATTAAGAAATTGGAGGAGCCTGTGACATCACTAGGAAGGGGTTTGTGACATCACTAGCTGCTAGGAGGTGGCAAGTATTAGGTTGCTCTTTTGGTGGGAGAAGAGGCATGATGAGAAGAAGCCTGTCCCTTGTTGGAAGAAGCCATATTTTAACATGGAGGCTGCCATTCTATGTAGCAGCCATCTTAAGGCAAAGGAAATCTAACATTCCAGGCTTTTTGTTTTATGGTTGTTCGGTGAAGGTCTCTTCTCCTGGAGTGACAAAGGGGCGAAGGTTGGGGCTAAACCTGGATATGGTGGGGCAGCAGTAGGTGGGGGCTTCTTCCCTCTGCAGCAGTGGCTGATACCCCACCATGATGAGTTCCGTGACTATATGGTTGGGAAATGCCCTCATGCGTTCCTGCAAGAAATTTTGAAAACAGCAAAACAGACACGGGCCTACCATGGCCAGAAGACACGCAGGTCAGAGGGCCCACTGAGGGAAGTAGTCATGGCATAATCTGGTGGAGCCAGAAGTAGTCTTGGGTCATTCCTCATGTACCCTATTGTTTCTTAGGGTTTTGATGCATTGTTGTAATTCTTTAATCTTTGCCTTGACTATGCCTGATTGGTTAACAAAATAACACTCATGCCAGGGAACTCAGTGGTTCCACCGCTTTGCCCTAGTTCAATCCCCGGTACCAAAAAAAAACCAAACAAAACAAAACACTCTTCACGTAGAGCCTGGCACATTCCCCCTTGGGCTGCTGTTAGCATGTGGAGGGTAGGTCTATTTTGGAGCATGACAGCTGCTAGGGAATTAATCTGGTCCTGGATTGTGTTTAGGAATTGGCTTTTCTTGACTATGTCTTCTGAGATCTCTATTGACAGTGCTGGGTAGAAATATGTAGAGGTAGAGAAACCTGCTATACCCATCATTATGCCAGTGAGGACCCCCACTTCCATCAAGAAGGGGACCGGGAGGGGGCCACCCTCTTTGTTGACCTTTGACCGTGGGAGGATCCTTTCAAATATCTGGGATTCCGTGTAGGTCAAGGGAGGGCTGAGAAACACTGGTAACAGAAAATTTCAGATCGGTTGAGGCATCAGAAAGCCTCCTGGCTGCATATGAAGTACAGGCTGTTGGATAGGCAGACTGGGTGCTCTCCTGAGATAAAAAGGGAGCAAGCAAGGCAAGTGATGTGGTCATTTTGCCCCATGCATGTCAGGTTAGTGGTTTGTGTAGGGATTGGGAGACCCATATCAAAGGGTCCCAGAACTGTGGATAAATTGCCAGTATTTGAGGCAGATTAAAATCTAGGGGGACAGGAATTGGAGTGAAAGAGCAAGGATAAACAGACATACAAATCCAACAATCTGAGATGTTGACAGGGAGATAGTGGAGGGTGGTAATGAATAGGTGTTATAGCCTTTTTTGAGACTGGGTTATCTGGTTTACCACTTGGAGATCTATCCCTTTATAGGGAGGTGGAGTGGTGGGCCTCAAAAGTCCATCACTAGTGCCTGTTCATTGACTACCTCTTTTGGTTATTCTTTTCTGCTGGGTGTTTAAGACCAAGTTAAAGTGAGACCTGTGTTAGTCAATATGGACATCTTGCTGTCTGTCAAGTTCAGTTAAGTCTCTTTATTTTGGAACCGTACATAGATCCTCTCAGCTCCTCAGTCAGTGTCAGCTGTTAGGATGGGTAACAGCCTTACTTGACCAAGTTGCTTTCAGTGAAAGTGTGGGAGATTTTTTTTTCTCTTGATGACTCTCCTTTAGCACACGTTATATTTGTCCTCTGGTGTCCAGCAATCTCCCTGTTCGGGAGGTTGGGTGACTTACCAAAGATGTAAGGCATTGTAGAAAAGGTCCCTTCATACCTTGGATCTTTGATGACCTTGGAGGACCAGGTCCAAAATATTGGTGATCTTTTTATCCCAGTTACCTTTTAGTGGTGGTCTCTGAACTTTGGTGTTTGAACACCCAGAAGAGAAGATCGGTGACATCAATTGTACAGTAAGAGCTTAACTATCATAACTTTATCTGGATAGCAAGCACCCTGAAATCTAAAATACAGCTTGAGGGCTGTTATTTTTATCAATCATGGTTGTTCTAATAGTTGATTTCCTGTACAATATTAACAGAAAAAACTTGGAATCATGCGAAATAAAGCTCCTGAGGGCCGGGGATTTAATTCAATGGTACTGCTGCCTTGCAAGTGCAAGGTTCCAAACTTCTGTAAAGGAAACCACCAACAAAGCAAAGGAAATCACCAACAGAATAAAGAGATAACTTCTAGAAGGGGGAAAATTTGTCAGCTGTTTCTCAGACAAAGGACTAGTATCTAGAATATGTAAAGAACTCAAAAAAATTAGGTCCCTCCTGCCAGAGCCCACAATATTGATTATACCCCAAACACACTGTCAGCAGTCCAGGCTGCAAAGGGTTAAATCCCTCGACTGGCTTACTTTAAGAAACGAGTCCGACTGAAACTATGTGACTCACAGAAGTATCTTATGAGCAGTGTGGTAGCACACAGGTTAACATGACCTCCCCGCTCACGGCCACAGCTGAGACCAGAATAATGGCCTAGGAAGCTGTGGTGGTCAACATGAGATAACAGCTGTAGCCGAGGTTGAAGTAATAGCACCCAAATTCCCTTCCCACCATTAGTGCCATCACAGCTTGAAGGACAAGGCTCTAATTACAACCATATATATTGTCTATCTCGCTTCTAATTATTATTATTAGTAGTAGTAGTAGTACTGGGGGTCACACGTGGGTCCTTGCTCTTGTGAGACAGGCAGCATCACCACTGAGCTAAATCCTTGGCCCTCTCGCTTCTAATTAAAAAATGCTTTGACTTCTCTTTAAAGCCTTGCCTGCATTAGTTTCCATGGTAATTTCATGTACTGCACATCCGTACATGCACCCTTACCCTGATTGACGAATAATAAAATTTGGTGGAAGAGACAGGCTAGTGCCTTTTGCCAAAGGAGCATTGGCCGTCCCAGTTCACACTTTCTCTTTAACTCTGTCAAGTTTTTCTTCAACCTTGCATCACACACTGGGCAGGTGGGGACTAGAGACTTACTGCAGGAGTCTCTGGCAGCTCCAGATTTAAAGACCCAATCAGTAAGCACGTGAAATTAACAGACACTTCTCAGTTGAAGACGTAAAAGTGACCAAAAATTACATGAAAAAAATGTTCAACATTGCTGGCCACTTGAGAAATGCAAATTAAGACAACACCGAGATTCCACCTTACTGTAGAAAAAATGGCTAAGTTCAAGAATCAAATAGTAATGATAAATGCTGGAGAGACTATGGGGGAAAAGGAACCCTTCTTCATTGTTGGTGGGAATGTAAACTGGTACAACCAATTATGAAAATCAGTATGGAGATTCTCCCCAAAGTTAAAAATATAAATTCCACTTGACCCTGTTATTCCCCTTGTGGGTATCTTCCTGAAATAGTTAAAGACATCATATTACAGTGATACATGCATACCCTTATTTATAGCAGCACAATTCAGAATAGCTAAATCATGGAAGCAGCCTAAATGTCCATCAAAAAAAATGACTAACAGAAGATGACTGGATAAAGAAAATGTGGTATTCATACGCAATGGAGTATTGTTCTGCCATAAAGAAGGATAAATTTGAATCATTTGTAGGAAAATGGATAAACTTTGAGACCGTAATATTAAGTGGAGTAAGTCAGACACACAAGCTTAAATATCACAGGATTTTTCTTATATGAGAAACCCCAATATACAAATGAAGTGCAAAATAAACGACAAATGATAGGAAAAAAGAAATAAAAGCTATTGTAATCCAGTATGACCAATGTACACCTTGATTTAGGATAATTTTGTGTGTTTTGTATGTGTTTTGGTCTGTTAGTCTGGCTGTTAATCTATGTTTATGATATTAATGACTAAAATAAATCTGATGCTAGGAATATATACAAATATATATATATACACTCAGATGCTACACTGAGAAGTAATACAGGTGACACCAGTCATCAAGAAAATTATATTTTATTATCAAGGAACACACAAGCAAACACTAGGAAGATTATGACAGCTACCATCATTACTCAAACTAGACACAAGAAAGTGATTCTCCAGAGAATGTCTTGAAGGACCAGTTGGTGCTTCTGCTCCACTGAACGAGGAATTCCTGAGGAGGAAAGGTTCGCACTTCCCCCACCCCACCAACTGTCAGAGTCCAACGGCTCCTCTCCTGGGTAATCAGCTGAATGAAGAATCTTCCCAGACACCAACATTTTTTCTCCAGCTGGAACAATGTGGTAATTGTTAACAATGATTGGGGAGAAAGTAAACCAGAAGCTGGACTTGGCCCTGGAGTGATGGAAAACTGGGCAGATTTCACAAGCTTCACTAGTGGCCAGAGGGCTGTGGGAGGGTTTTTTAATGATCCCACACACCCGGGCCTAGACAGTCAAAGATTTATCTTGCACTTCTTGCGTCACCTCAAAGCGCCTGCAAACCGCGCCTTCCCAGTGGCCCCTCCCGTCACCGCCAAGCTCTGGACTACGTTTCCCAGAGGGCTTTGCGCCGGGGCGTTGCCGTGGAAGCCGAAGGGTATAGAAAGGGAAGCTGTAGAGGCGGCCGACCCTATATCCACTGCGCCGCAGCTCGCCGAGATGATTGTACTTCTGATTCTCTTCCTTTTCTTCCCCTTCCTCCTGTATGTGGCTGCGCCCCAAATCAGGTCTGTGTAAATGTATTGCCCTCTACTGCGAAGTCTTTTCGGGGGACACGAATCCTTACGGAAGCTCTTTTTTGCAAGAGACTTTCCCTGGGGGTCCCCAAGATGGCCGAGACTTCTAGTTAAGTGGGTTGCTAGTGAGGACCAGGTGTTGGCGGGGCGGGGAGTGAGGTCCGAGACCGAGGCTATCGGGAAGAATCTGCGGTCCCGAGCATCCTGCTCTCCTTCTCCTGGCCCCTTTTCCCATCCAGCATCACCTGCCCCCAGCTCCAGGGAAGCCCGAAGGCAGGGCTCCCCCAGACGCTCGAGTTTACGGCTTGGCGGGTGTCTGACGCTCGTGTGGGACGTCTCTCCCAAAACAACCTTAATTTCCCTCTTTACTCTCACGCCTTGAACCAGCCCTGTCTAACTTTTTGTTTCTAGACTTTAAAGAGCAAGCGAGTGATTCTACTTTCTCTCTGGGAAACTGATGGTTATAGTGACATCTGTAATTCGCTGCACGCTCTCCTTTGCTGCTTTTCCTCTGGGCAGATGTTAGGGACGGAAGTGAAAGGGCAGAGTGATTTTAAGAGTCCTTTCCAGCCTTTGGAGCCAAGAGGGTGGGGGATTTGAGTTAAACGCTGGTGGGCCAGGAAGGAGAGGCAGGGAGAACGAGGCAAACTGTCTCTTGAAAATCAACATAGAACGCCCAGCGGGCAGGCCGCTGATTGGTTCTGAGAAAGTCACCCGTAGTGACGGTGGGCCAGTGACTGAAGAGACGCACTTCTTCCTCTCCTGGCGCTCGGTCAGAGTTGCAAGGGAACTTTGACCAGATTCACCTCTTGTCATTTCTTTATTGTAAAGTTGGTCAGGGCTGGGAATGTGGTTTAGTTGTAGATTGCTCGGCTAGTGTGCACAAGGCCCTGGGTTGGATCCTTAGCACCATAAAGGAAAAAAAAATCAAGAAGGACCTGCTTGCCTTGCTGCTTATTTTTCCATCCCTCCCTCGTGACCTCGTCCAGTTAGTGTTGCTTTGGGATTTTTTCTCCTCTCTGAACTTTCATTGCTCCCATTTCTGGGCACACATGGGCGCTCATAGTCAAATGAAAATGTACATAGTTTTTAAAATCTCTTCAGGCTGAAAATTTAGCTCAGTGGTGCTGCCGCCTGCCTCATAAGTGCAAGGTCCTGAGTTGTCCCCGGTACAAAGAAGCAAACAAACAAACTCTTTTCACCACGAGATCTACTTGTCCACATAGAATCTCAATGAAAAGTTGAACTGGAACCGAAAGTAGTGCTCATAACCCAGTGAGATTTTTTTTTTTTTTTTTTTTTTCTGAAAGAGCTTATGCTCCAAGGTCTTTATTCCCCAATCCAGCTAGAGAATGAGAACCAGGAAAGAGCTGGGGTTTTTTCCCCCCAGAGCTTTATTTTTATAGTTGGTTGTCTCTTTCTTTCTTTTTCTTTTTGTATTCAGAATTGAACTCAGGACCTTGCACTTATGAGCGAGGTGCGGTGCCACTGAACTAAATCCCCAGCCCTGTCTCTTTCATTTTTGCTTGTTCAGTAGAAGAAAGGGCTAATGTAGAATAGTCTATAATTCCCGGAGCTCCAGCTGACGGGATATGGGTTTGTTTTCTGAAGAGGTGACTATCAGCTGGATACCATGAGTTAGTTTGCTCCCTGTGGCCTCTTTGGACTATGCAGGTAGCTTTAGCTGTTAGGAGTGTGCACCTTGTAATTGCAAGTTTAGTAAAAAAGACTGAAATAGTTCAAGGCCAGCTTGGACTACATACAGGATCCTGTCTCAAAAAAAAAAAAAAAAATGAAGGAAGGAAGGAAGGAAGGAGCTCTTTGTCAGGTGTGATACTTGGGAGACCAAGGTATGAGGATCACAGATTCAAGGCCAGCATAGGCAACTTAGTGAGCCCCTGTCTCAAAATAAAAAAGGAGATGTAGCTCACTGGTAGTGTTCTAGGTTCAATCAGTACTGTAAAAAACAAAACAACAATAAAACACAGTCAACTTATCAACAGATATTTTATTCCCAAGATTATAGAGAAAAGAAAAATCTGAGAACTGCTAATATGCGTTTGTACATTCATTCATCCTTTGGAAAGGCTGTATAATGTAGTGCTTAGGAATGATGACTATAATTGGACAAACCAGGACTTGAGCCCCTACTCTCCTTTATACTCATTTTTTTCCATTGTCTTTTTTTTTTTTTTTTTTTAACCATCCTTTGGATTAAATCTAGGGCTCCATCAATGCTAAGCACACATTCTACCACTGAGCTACATCCCCTGCCCCAGTCTTATTTTTAAGTATGTTAATGTGTTTTTTCCCTTATTTTGTTTTGTTCTAGATTCACAAGCTTTTGTAATTATAAATCTTTGAATTGGATTAACCCATTTTCTAGACCATAAAATGCCACCTGTGGGCAGATTGACAAGAGACCAGTTCTTTTCTCTTCTTGATTGACTCTTGTGATTTTCTAAGCCAAAAATGCTTCGCAGAGAGCTCAAACTGAGTCAGGTGCCTGGCAAATCAAATATTCCTCCAGTTGTGGTGCTCCAGGGAGCAATTGTAAGTTTTGCCCTTGTAATAGAATCACCTTTGTCCTGAGCAAGAGCAAAAATCTTTAGTCTTTTCTCATTTTACTTAAATTTTATTTATTTATTTACTTATTTTTAATTTTGGGGTCTCACCATGTAGTTTGGGCCAGGCTTTATTTTTAATTTACTATGTAGTCCAGACTGGCTTTGAACTCGGCAATCCTCTTGCCTCAGCCTCCTGAGTGCTGGGATCACAGGCTTGCGCCATAGCCATTCCTTAAATTTATAAAAGAACAGCAGTGAAGCCTGATGTTACACACCTATAATCCTATCACTCAGGAGACTGAGGCAGGAGGATCATGAGTTTGAGGCCAGCCTAGACCTCACAGTGCGATCCAGGCTAACCTGGGCTACATTGTGAGACACTGTCTCAAAAAAAAAAAAAAAAAAAAAAAAAAAAAAAAAAAAAAAAAAAAAAAAAAAAAAAAAAGAAAGAAAGAAAAGAAAAGAAAAAGAAAAAGAAATAGTGAAGAAACCAAAGCAAACCTCAGCCTTGGGCTCTGAAGACATAGGGCGTTTCCAGAACCCTCAGCTAAGAATGGATAATAAAGAGCTGATGAGTTCTCTTCCACTGTCTGCAGGAAAATGTTGGCCTTTGGGGTGTGCACATCTACTGTCCAGCTTCCTGGGAAGGTCGCTATAGTCACTGGAGCTAACACAGGCATCGGAAAGGAGACGGCAAAAGAGCTGGCTCGAAGAGGCAAGTTCATCTGCTCTTGGTTCCCACTACTTTCATTTCATTCCTTACAGTGGTGGTTGTTCTCATTGTTTCTTCCTTGACTTAGAATTCAAGAACCTCTGAACCCTTTGATTTGCTAGTCTAAACCTAGTACAATGCTGTACATAAAATGGGCACTAGGGCCGGGGATTTAGCTCAGTGGCACCGCACCTGCCTCACAAGGGCAAGGTCCTGAGTTTGATCCCCAGTAACAAAAAAAAAATCTCATATAATAGGCATTTAAATCTCATTGATCTGTTTTTCTTTATTGATTTGCATCAAGTGACTCTTTTAGAAAGTACATGTAAAAATTCCTGTTTTTTAAAAAAAATTGCCACATTCTAGGCTCAGTGGTAGGACACTTGCCTAGCATTCACAAGGCCTTGAGTTCAATCCCTAGCACCAAAACACAAAACAAAAAGCAAAAACCCAAGAGAAAATAACATTTGACATCAGTTTTAAGTCTATAATACCCACTTAAAAATGGAACTGACAGCCAGGAGTGGTGGCACATACGTGTAATCTAAGCACTCCTGAAGGCTGTGGCAGGAGGATTGTGAGTTTGAGACCAGCCTGTGCTACTTAGCAACTTTATGAGATATGAGATCCTGTCTCAAAAAAATAAATAGAAGTCTGGGGATGTGATGCAGTACACAGGCCCTGGGTTCAATCCTCAGTACCACAAAAAGAAGAAAAAAAAATGACAGCACTGACAGTTTCTCTTTCATATGTTGGATGACAGGAGCCCGTGTATATTTAGCTTGCCGGGATGTGCAAAAAGGGGAGTTAGTAGCCAGAGAGATCCAAGCCATAACAGGGAACCAGCAGGTGTTGGTGCGGAAACTGGACCTGGCTGACACTAAGTGTATTCGAGCCTTTGCTAAGGACTTCTTAGCAGGTAAGTGCAGAATGAGAGACTGTATTGTGAGTTTATAATCAGCTTGGCAGACTTGGATGAAAGGAAAACATCTTTCTCCCTCTAAAACACAGATATAGTGGATAAAATATAGCCAAAAACTTTCAACACACAGCTGAACTCATTTTCATCATTAGGGTGTGATTAATGTCAAAGGGACATCCTCAGGAGGCAGAAGAAAACTAGAACCTAAAAAGCCGTGGCAATGAGCAAGAGCTGAAGCTAAAAATCTCACAAGCATCTGAACTCCATAGGGATTTTTTTAGGCTCTAGAGCAGTGGTGGCAAACTGATGGCACACATGCTGCTTTCAGCTGTTGATCATTGAAGGCTCTGAAAGGTTCACCATCCCTGGTCTAGAGTCTAAGTACCCATACAGTGATAAGGGATGAGACCTCAGGCCCTTGGGAGCTGGCAGTGTGTATATAAGGCTGAGATTGACAAAGGGCCATCTGATCTGCAATATAGGAACTTAGAAAACAAAGCAAAACAAAACAGCCTGGGCACCAGCTAAGGCACATGACAAAAGAAGTTTACCATCTCTCCCGGTGTTGGACAAATAATGAGTCATCTGTAAGAAATTAGAAACCCTTGCTGGTATCTGTAGGGTCTGAAGCCATACTACCAAATGGTGTAAAGTCATCATCATCTTATTTTGTTTGCTTATTTGGGGGTGCAGAAATCTTGAGCTGAGGCATTAATGTAAAAACTCTATAATATTTCATCAGGCTTACCTCCTTATCACCATAGATCTTAGCCTGTCAGAGAAGAACTTCCACTGCTATAAACCCACCGTCATAAATTACCACGTAAGGAAATGAACCTTTAGAGTTGCAGATTTCTTTTGGGACCTGAAGCCCAGAGGCAGGGGTTCATATGGAACATCTGTTTTTCTCTTGCTTTGGAGTGTTTCCAGTCAGCTTTGGAAGTCTATTAGGAGAGATGGATGGAATAATTCCCAAAAGCAAAAAGTAGCCCCTGAACTGAAATACTGAGAAAGGCATTTGGGGGTATAAATGGAATTTTTCCCTATTGTAAAAGTATGTAGGATCCAACGAAAGTCTTACTATAAAAAAATACAAAATAAGTATGAAGAGGAAACAAAAGATTAAAGTTCTGCATCCCCACATTTAAAGCCCAGTTGTGAAGCAGATTTCTAAGATGTAACAGCTCTGGCTCCATCTTCTCTTCTGTGCAGAGGAAAAGCACCTCCACATTTTGATCAACAACGCGGGTGTGATGATGTGTCCCTACAGTAAGACAGCAGATGGCTTTGAGATGCATATGGGAGTGAACCACCTGGGTAAGAAATCTGTCCTTGTGACAAAGCTAGAGGGAACCTAAAGTTCTTGGAAAACTTAAAGGTCAGATTGAGCCTTCTTTGTGGAATGATAGAAACTGAGAGCCATAGTAGCCCATGTGGGAGTAGAAAATAGTTTAGACCTGCCTGAAAGCTGAGGCCTATGCGAGACTCTTACTTTTTAATCTATGATTTAAATGTGGTTTACCTTGGAGTTGTTTTTGAGTTTTTGTTTTTGGTCTTTTGAGATGGGCTGACTGTGTAGTTCAGGCTGTGAACTTACTGTGTAGACCCTCAAATCCAGGCAGTACTTCTGCCTCAGCCTCTAGAATGCTGGGATTACAGGCGTGTGTCACTATGCCCAGCATGGAGACATTTTTAACAGCCTTATTGGGGTGGAGGTCTATGTTCTTTTCTTACAAATGATCCTTGTGCCCAGCATCAGATAGATGCTAGCTGTATTTTTAAATTTAATTTTTATTTTATTTGGAGGCAAGATCTTGCTATGTAGTTCAACCTGGCCTTGAATTCACTATGCAGTCCAAACTGGCCTTGGACTTGTGGCAATCCTCCTACCTCAGCCTCCCAAGTGCTGGGATTACAAGTGGGCACCACCACACTCAACTAGGTCATCTTCTTTTAAAGAGTAGTGTTAACCCATGTTGGAATTAAGATTGGATTTGCTGTTTGTACAATCTAGACCTGTTTTATTTATTTATTTATTTATTTTAAGTCCAGACCTCTTCATAACCTAAAAGGGTATCTCATGTCTTTGGCTGTTTATATTTCCCCGACTCACTGAAATTGTCTTCTAGTTGATAATGAACATTGAAGCAAAATACCTTATCCCTGAGTTCTCTGCTTAGCCCTGCTCACCATTACTCTTCTTATCCCACACAGGCCCTGAACTTTATCAATCCTAGTTTTTCTCAACAGGTCACTTCCTCCTGACCCATCTGCTGCTAGAGAAACTGAAGGCATCAGCCCCATCAAGGGTAATAAATGTGTCCTCCTGGGGACATCACTTGGGAAGGATTCACTTCCATAATCTGCAAGGCGAGAAATTCTACCATTCAGGACTGGCCTACTGTCACAGCAAGTTAGCCAACATTCTCTTCACCCGGGAACTGGCCAGGAGGCTGCAAGGTGGGCTTGGGAATTAAGCAGGGAGACAGAGTCAATGAGAGGTAGCTAAAAGTCCCAAGGATGGAAACTGTTTCTGGAGCCCACACTGAATACTGGAGATCACTGGCTGGAAACAAGAAAATTCTGACTGAATACTTCACTAACTTACTAGCTGTGTAAACTGCAGCAGGTTACTTAACTTTTCAAACTTATTTTCTTCTATGTAAAGGCAGGTTGCTTTATAGGTTATTGTCATAATTAATTCAGGTCTCCTGAGCAAGTCAAGATGTTTTTGCTCCTAGTGAGTCTGTAAAGAATTGACCTGAATTGGTGCTAGATACAACCATAAAGATACAACCATAAAGATTGCACACTGGGGTCGTAGTCTCTCCCTCAAAAGGATCCAATAAAAGGGAAAGTATGCATCATAAGGGAAGGTTCCAAGCAAGTTCCTTCAGCATCATTCCTTAGCATTGTCTACTCTGAATTTCCAGTAAAGTGAAAGGACATCTACAGTGGGCAGCGCTCAGGAGTTGAAGCAGACAATTTAGGCTCTAGTAATCAGGCCTAGGAGTACCACTGTTGGAACAGGATCAACCTACCTACCATTCCACAGATGAGTTTTCCATACCCATGGCATTCTGTGCCCTGGTTAGAGGATTGGGGATGAGGTGGAGGACAAGATAGGTGCAGTCCTTTCCTTGATTTGGTTAATAGCTAACGGGGGAAATGGGGCCGGGGATTTAGCTCAGCAGTCCTGCCGCCTGCCTTGCAAGCAGAAGGAACCAAGTTCGATCTCCGGTACCAAAAAAAAATAGCTAACGGGGGAAAGAAGCCAGTGTTGATATAACTGCCACACAGAATATTAGTCTAGTAACATATTGTAAAAAGTGAAAATATTATGGAAGGTTACAGAATTAAAGGTGAAAAACACCTTCATATATTCCTCTCACCCTCTCACTTTTCTTCCTTCGGGTGACCACTGTCAACAGCTGCCTATGCACCTCCCCAGTCACTTTCCTTTGCATTTACATGTATACACGTTAGACAGAGATAATTGGAATTCTGAAATGGTTTCCATGTATTACGTACGGATTTGCCCGTATTCATTTTGTTAGGTACATGGTCTGTCATAGTATCAATGTGCCTTAGCTTCTTTATCCCTTTCCTTAACATCTAGATTACTTCCTATTTGCTGTTTAATCATAATTGTGTTAAATGTTACAAAGGAGAAGTGCAAGAGTCTCTCAAATGAATTTCAGGAGGGGGCAGAGACCTTATTCATTCTGAAGATTCAGGGAAGACTGTCTGAGGAAGGGAGTTGCAAGCTGAGCCCTGAAGGAGGCTTGGAAATTAAATGGGTTCTAAGTGCAGATGGAGTGAGAAATAGAGGCTCTAATGTTAGACTAGAGGGCTGAGTTTAGACAGGAAGGTAGGCAGAGGCCACGTCCTTAGAGGCCACAGAAAGGGTTTTAGTCTTAATTCTAAGAGCAGTGGAAAACCTCTGGAATTAAAACCTTTTAGAAATGGGCAAGAATAGATGCAGTAGGCAGTTTCAGTGGTCAAGATGGGAAATGAAAGTAGCTTGGAGGAGGGTGATGGAGTTGGAGGTTTGTAAACACTCCTGAGAGATGTTTAGGATTGGAAACCATAAAGGATATGCATGGTAAGGTAGGGAATTAAGAGCTACTCCTGTGTGCCCGGTTGGGTGTGTTTAGACCTAGTTCTTAAAAAGTAAAAACTAATTTTGCACCTCTGAGTCTGTATTACTCTGGGTCATCTGGGTTTAGGTAGACATGGAGTTGGCAGCACCTGATCTACAGCTGCGAAATTCACAGACTTGAAAATTCTGTTTTGTTTTGTCTTTTTCACAAACTTATACCAAAACTTATTTGGCAGCAAAGCTGTACTAGACAGAATATGTTTCATGTTACCTTTCTAAAGTCAGAAGAAATTTGAAATAGTTTGGGCCTCTAGTCTTGCAGTAAAGGATTAGGATCTCAAAATAGCACACACAAAAGTAGCGCTTACCTTGTATCACGCCACATTCTAAGCTCTTATATACACGAGTTCATCTAATCCTTAGAACAACCTTGTGAGTGGAGATTTTATGATTATTCTCATTTTAGAGATGTGGAAGTAAGTCACAAAAACAGGAGCTTATCCGTGGTCACACAGCTAATGACAGGAGTGACAAGCTGAGTCTGAGCAGTCTGGCTATAGAGTCCATGTTCTTAACCATTTCATTATGCTGGCTCTCATAGTCAGGCTGATGCTGAAATAGTTTATGCTGTACATAAGAAATGTGGGCACCATAAAATTATAGAAAGGGAGTTTAGTGAGCCATGACAGTTCCAAGTTTGGGTAGAAAATGATGACCAAGGATATCCAGGAAACAGACACAGCAGCCATAAGCTTTGGGAAACCAGACGTGTGGGGTTATGGAAGCCAGTAAAAAGAGGACTTCTGGTGGGCACACTGTCAGCCCACCACTCAGGAAGCTGATGCAGGAGGATCGCTGTCAGTTCAAGGCCAGCCTGGGCTCCATAGTGAGTTCAAGGCCAGCATAAACTTCAGTGAGACTGTCTCAAAAAAGGGGACTTTAAGAAGGAGGGGGTTGGTGATGTACAGTGCTGCTAAGAAGCTGAGTCCTGGCTCTGCTGCATCGAAACTTAACAACTTCCTGGGTCTTAATCTATGAAGTGGGGGTTTAAATTATTGTGAATAGTGCTTGTGATGTCACCGTAGGCTGGGAGTCATAAGTGGTGGTCACAAGTTTATTCACATGCTATGCTCTCTTTGGCAGTTCAATAATATCAAGTCCCATCTTCCTCTCTACGTGCACATTCCTCCCCAGGCTCTGGCATTACAACCTATTCTGTCCACCCTGGCTCAGTCAGCTCCGAGTTGATTCGGCACTCATCTTTCATGAGACTCATGTGGTGGTTGTTCTACTACTTCCTCAAGACTCCTCAGCAGGGAGCCCAGACCAGCCTGTATTGTGCCTTAGCAGAAGGTCTTGAGGTTCTAAATGGGAATCATTTCAGGTATGAATGTGTATGTTTTTTAAATAATTTGAATTTGTCTGGTGTGCTATACCTTTTTAAAAAATACATTTGTCTACTCTTGCTTATATCTGTTCTGTCTGTTGTATTTTTGTTTTGTTTGATCTGTTTTCTGTAGTGCTGGGGATTGAATCCAGGGACTCCAGCATGCTAGGCAGGCAAGTGCTCTACCACTAAGCTGTAGCCCCAGACCTTTTAAAATTTTTATTTTGAAACAGTATCTTGCTAAATTGTTCAGGCTGGCTTGAAGTTGCAATCCTCCTGTGTCAGAAAGATACCTGAGTGGCTACACCAACATTGCCATTGACTTTTTTTTTTTGTTTTTATTAGTTGTTTTTTATTTTTTGTTTTGTTTTGGTAGTGGGGATTGAACTCTGGTCCTTGCACTTGTGAAGCAGGTAGCAGAACCACTGAGCTAAATCCCTGGCTCCATTCCCTGGCTGCATTTTTTGCTTTTTTGAGAGTAAGTACTCCAGGCTGGTCCTGAATATGCTGTGCCTCAGACTCCTGACACCAGGATTATCTAGCAGCTTCTGTCTTTTGACTCTAAGGTTTTTATATTTTAACAGAGAAATTTAACCCTTTCATAAGTTTTGTGGTACTGTCAAGGTTTGAATTTTTCATGCCATCTTTTATATTGATAATTATGATTTCCATGTATTTTTTTTACTGACTTTTTTTTATATTGGTCCAATTTTTAAAATTCCATTTTTAAGTCCTAGTGTTTCATTTTTTTTTAACATTTTTTCTGGCTGGGGATTTAGCTCAGTGGTTCTGCCGTCTGCCTCGCAAGCACAAAGACCTGAGTTTGATTCCCGGTGCCAAACAAAAAGTTTCAATCTGCATTCCTTTATTGTCTTTAGTATTAAAATAGTACCTATGGCATCTCTTCTTGAATAAACTTTTCAAACATTTTACTATAGAGAATTTTGAACATACACAGGAGTAGAATAATAAAGTTTGAGCTCACACATACCCATCATCTAGCCTCAACTGTCACTAAACTATGGCCAATCCTACCCCATCCTCATCCTCTACCTCTTCCCATATTTTTCTTCTCTCATTATTTTGAAGAAAATCCCAGACATGTAAGAACAACATTTTAACATATTTTTACCTCCACTTTTAAGACATCTTTGAAAGAACCTGAAATTTTGAGAAGGGGCTGCAAATAGCATTAAGGTTGGAAAGAAAGATAAACATGGCTAAAAAGCCTGTAGGGACAGACTTACAGAGGAGCCACTGAAGTTGTCTCAGTACAGACAGACAGAATCTAGTCTGTGCTGTAGAAAAACATCATTTGTTTAATGAATAAATGAATGAGTAACCCATTAAGAGAAAGAGTTCCTGATTTAGAGAAATGAAAATTGGAGTGGTAAGGATGGTTGCATAAGACAAGCACTGAGAGGCTTTTTACCACTGGATGACTAATTGAGTGTGTGTCTGCTGGAGAATTTGGTAACCTGGGTTTCAAGGCTCGGTGACTAGCAGGTTAATGATGACATTAACTGAGACAGCAGACACTGGAAAATAATGTGTGTAGTAAGGTACAGTGAAAATCTAGAACAAACGCTGGCCTTAGCACTGGCCTTGGAGGACCTGTGACCTCGAGGGTGCTTTCGGTTACGTTCCCTATCCCAGACCGAGAGCAGGTTCCATCCTGAGCCCTTTTCTTCAAGCCTGTCTTTCCCTTCCAGTGATTGCCATGTGACATGGGTCTCAGCCCAGGCTCGTAATGAGACAATAGCAAGGCGGCTATGGGACGTCAGCTGTGACCTGCTGGGCCTCCCAGTGGATTGACAGGTGGTGGCAGCTGGACACAAAAGAAGACTGCAGCAACTGATGCAGTACTACGAGCCAAAATGGTTCTCCAAGGTGGCCAAAGACAACACAAAGAGCAAAACCTTCCAGCCTTGCCTGATGGTGTCCAGTTGCGTCCCAGCGTATACTGCCAGATTTGCCTCTCAACACCTTGCATTTGTCCAGACCCACTTTCTTCCTCTACTTCTAGAGTTTCTGTCCATATTATTGAATAAGAAGACCTCATATAAGCTCGCAACTCTTATTTTCCTTCTGAAATACTTATGTGTAGAATTGAAGCTCTAGCATGGTTACGTGTGTGAATGTGGACTACTTTCTATCCTCTTTTTTTCACATTTTAGTTCCAACCAAAAAAAAAAAAAATCTTCAAGACGGGCCATGTTGCAGCCTCAGCTGAACCCCACAAAAAGAGTGGCCTGTTTTAAGAGCAGGGCGTCGTGGCACCAATATCAGAATTCTTCCGGGAAACTACTGGATCTGGATTATGGCCTGGCCTTAAACCTAGAGCCATTGCTGCTAAGACATTTACCCATGTCTAGACCACAGAAGAGTTACCTTTCTAAGATATTGTGGGATTTGGGAGTGGACAGAAGTAAAAATCAAGTTAAACTGTCATGTTTCTGCCTTTTCTCAGACCAATAAGGAGGTAATAAAAGGAATACTATGAGAAGATAGGACATCTGGCTTCAGTTACTGGCTTTAGTCATGTGGAGGCTTCCTTTTCATGCCTGGGGTTTTTTGTGTTCATTGTAGTGTCGGCAATCAAACCTAAGGCCTCACAAATGCCACTGAGCTACATATTCAGTCTTTTTTTTTTTTAATTTTGAGACAGGATCTCACTAAGTTCCCCAGGCTGGTCTCAAAACTTGCAGTTCTGCTGTCAAGAAGCTGGGGATTATCAGTGTGCATCACCACTCCCAGCTCTTAGAAAATCACAAGGGCCAGGCATCGTGGTGCAAACTTGTAATCATAGGACTCAGGAGGGAGAGACAGGAGGATCACAAGTTTGAGGCCAGCCTGGGCCACATAATGAAACCCCTGTCTTAAAAAAAAAAAAAAAAAAGATCCAGAAGAGGAAAGGGAAAGCTTTTCAATCATTATCATTGTATATATTTGTATTTCTTGTGTATTTGTGCAGCTTGGATTTTCACAAAATTCACAGTAGCTACTGTTATCAGTCATGTGCACTAGAAAAAGATTTAATGTAAAATACGTGTGTGTGTGTGTGTGTGTGTGTGTGTGTGTGTGTGTGTGTGTGTGTGTGTTACAAGGTAGGTTTACAATGGCCACCTGCAGAGTCAGGTGTGGAATCGTATAAAAGAGCTGTCTGTGTGCTAGAGGTCCCAAGGATCCAGTCAAAAGTTGAAGGCTTGGAGCTGGGCGTGGTGGTACATACCTGTAATCCCAGCACTTTGGGAGGCTGAGGCAGGAGGATTGCTGTGAGTACTTCAAGACCAGCCTGGGCTTCATAGTGAGTTCCAGGTCAGTCTCAACTACCTAGTGAGACCCTGTCTCAAAAAACTAAAAAAAAAAAAAAGTTGAAGGTTTGGAGTGCCCCATGTGAGTCTGTATCAGGAAGCCAAAGGGTGTGTGCTGGAAGCCAGGAGATGAATGTCTCAGGCAAAGACAAAGACAGGCTCCTCCAAAGAAACAAGTGAGCCTTCCTTCTTTCCCCTGTTTATTCCATACATGTTACAAGCATATTGATTAGCGCACCTCACACTGAGGGTGGGTCTTCCATCTTCTGTATGTCCATGCAGTCACACCCAGAACTACGATAAGCCAATCAGTTGGGCGTTTCTTACTCAAATTGACACAACAATTAACTATCACAGCCACAAAAGAACAATGTTAAACCAGACCCTAGTGCAGGTTAACAACAGGAGATCAAGCAAACCAGTAAACCAGTGTCATCCTATTTTTGATATAAATGAGGACAGCTAAGTGAAACATTCTATAAATGTTGACAATGACCCAGCAAGAAGCACAGGAATAGCAGGGAAAAAATTGAAAACTCCTGGGAGATAATACACGATAGGGGACTAGTTTAAGGATTAAAAAGAAAAGCAAGGCAGGAATAGAACTGAGGATGAGCATCCTAATTAATATGACTGATGAGGCTTTGTCTTAACCAATGAACATGGCTGGGAAAAAAACAAAAATAAACTCCAATTTGTATTTAGAAAAATTATAAGGACTGATAATGCTAAATACAATCTGTTTGATACTTTTTCAAGACATTTCCTTCCATCATCTTGACAGGATTAAAAATACCAAATTAGTAGCTGGTAGTGTAGCTCAGTGGTAGTGTTACCAGGTAGTCCCTTGTAAAAGTACCTCACCAAATAAACATTACTTGGTTTTGTAGTGCTTGCTTCTCCTCCTGGAGTTGGTTTCCAGGTTCTTCTCATCTTGAATAAAGAATTGGATGAAACAAGCAAAAAATGGCAGCAAAGTTTATTTGAAAACTAAAAGAAGAGTGAGACAGAAACTGGCTCTGCAGAGTGAGCTTGGGCTGAGTAAGAGGGAAAAGCTAGATAAAAGGACACCCTGGAGGCCATAGTGCAGGATATCACCATGAAATTCACACTAGCAAGCTCCTCATGGCATCTCTATCCTTTTATGCCATCCTAACCTCAAGGAAACCCTTGAGAACTTCTAGATACTGGTTCCGAGAGGCAGTGCTGGGATTCTACACCTCAGGCTGAGGTCAGGTCTAAGCCGTCCTCCTGAAATACTACTTGAGTTCTTGAGAGAAGTCCATGTGCAGAGCTTTGGGAACTGTTCTGTTCATTTGTTCTGTGATCTTGTAATTAACAGGTCGCTGATACACCCAAGTCTGTCTCAATAGAGCGTGCATGAAGGTCTGGGTTCCATCCCCAGCACTGGGGTGAGGGGTGCGGGGAGATAAAATGATCTCTATACTTTATTTGGGGAACTTTGATCTAATGTAACGCTGCAGAAGGAAGTCTGAGGAATTGGTAATGTTCCCATCCCTTGTTTGGAGTGTGCTATTCTAAGAGAGTTTGTGATTTTCTTGCACTGACAGTTACACTTTGGTAGGGAAAGTAGTTATGGGACTAGTTTTCACTTATAGTTGTAAATAATCTTTGTTGGACCTATTTTGGCCAGTAAGCTATATTTTAGAGGTAGTAATTTTATGGGAAAATTGGAAAAGTTTATAATAGTGCAATCAAATAACTGAATATTTTACCCACTTTGTTGAGCTGTCAATGACAGTGTCTTTTTGATTGTCATGGATTTTTGTTTGTTTGGTATTGGGGATTGAACCTAGGACCTATGCATTGAGCTAGATCCCTGGCCCTTTTGTTATTTATTTTTTGTACTGGGGATCAGACTCCAGACCTTGCACCCCAGACCTTGCACTTGCGAAGCAGGCAGTGGAACCACTGAGCTAAATCCCCGGACCCCCTTTTATTTTTTTGAGACAAGGTCCTGTGAAGTCACTAAGACAGCTAGGGTGGGCTTGAACTTCTGGTTGACCTGCCTCAGGCTCCCAGAGTGATGGGATTACAGGCATGAATTATCATGTTTTAATTTACCAGAATAAAACTAAGAATTAAGCTTTTGTAATCAAAAGAAAACTTTTTACTATCACAGCTATGCAATTACAGTATTTCTCATTCTAATGGATAAATGTGTCCCAAAATCTAGCCATAGTACAACTGTAATTCACATGCCATTAATTTGGGCTGTGATTATCTGGCCATTTCCTAGCTTTCATGACACTTTAAAGATCACTTTTTCTATATTTTTTAATCAATTCAAGCTGTTATATTTCCTTTCTACATCTCCTCTTTATTTCTGTAACATAATGCTGTAGGATTTATTACACTGCTGCTGACCTCAGACTTTGTCATCTCGCTATGCTCAGTGATACTAAGAGATCAACAGAATTACTATTTGTTGAATCAATTGTCAGTAGACTCAATCTAAAAAGATGGGCTCAAGAGATAAAACCCAAAGCATTTCCCTCTATGCATTCGTGTATAATTGTTTCTGGGATCAAATGATGGGCCTCATGCATGCTAGGCAAGCACTGTATCACTGAGTTACAACCCCAGCCCCAGGTACGTTTTAATATGTATGCCTTTTAATACTTGTAGGCAGTTTAAATATTAGGCTCCCAAGCAAACATTTGAGAATAGGATTCTTAGGCAAACCATGTAATCAGTGAGTGCAGGAATTTACACCTATGGAGTAAAGGACTTTATCTGTTAGTTCATTACACTTTGTAGATTATACTTGAAGCCATGTCTGCCTTTCTCAGCAGATTATACATTACATAAAGCCACAGAGTAAATACATTTTGTTCACCAATATATGTTCAAAACAAAACCAAACCAAATAATGCTCAAATCGCTGCAGAATACCAAGTTTTAAACACCTGTTGTAAAGGAATGCAGAGGCAATCCAGTGCTCTACATGGCGGGCCGCTAGAGGCTGAGTGGTATTTTGGGGTCACACTGCCAGGGTTCTACTTCCCAAAACCGTGTTGGGCCTCCCCAGTGCTCCACGCAGCAGCCGGAGGGCAGGCGTCCATCTTCCAGGGCTGAAAGCGAACGCTCAGGATGCCAGCTGAGGAAGTCAAGCCGCAAAGCAAAATCCATGCCAGCGAGGATGACGTCTAGGCACGCGCTACACCACCGCAGCCCACCTGGCCAACCTCGCGTTGGGGAGTCCTCGCTTGACTACAACTCCCGGCACGCACTGCACAGCCCGCCCCTCGCCGGCCAGCGGTTCCCGGAGGTAGCGGCTAAGCTGCCGG